GAAGTAAATATTCTTCCTCCAGACTCGAAGCTTCAAGTCTGGAAGTTTCAAACCTGCAAAGGAACCCTTACAATCAGAAGAAGTCAAAGACGTCATCATGATCACAGGGGATTTATATATAAATATATATATAAAGCTCCTTTCTTTACCAGAAAGGGTGATTCAAGTCGACTTTACACCTGGAAAGAAACAGATGAACTTTAAAGAAAAGGAGACTCACTTCCTTATTTGATATGATCATTTTTTGGCATTTTACAGGTCACAAAGCAACGCAGTTTGACATTGTTGACCGTTGTCGGTCTTCTAAGAGCAGGGAGTGGTTCAGAAGCTGATATGATTTAATATGAAATAAAATATAAATATGTACCTGCAGGAAACTGAGTGGATAATTGAGAGGGAATGGGTTTGATTCTCAGTATAACAGCATCGTCTTTGTGTATCTGCCCCACATTAACAGCTCTGTGATGTTTGTCTCTTAACTACCCAGAGCTGTGTGTAGTTATCTATCTTGAAAAAAATTGAATAAAAATAGCTGTGCAAAGAGCACAGTGTGGGGCTTTAAGTCATTTTTTCCATGCTGAAAGTAAAATGAACAAAAACAAGAATATTTAGAAGAGTTCAATTAATTCACATGAGGTTTTGAAAAATTCATCAGAAGCTGAGTAAAACGCCTTTTAACTTTCAGCTGTTAAATAAATATGCAATGCGTTTCTGTCAGCTGCATTATCTTCAATATATTGAGAAATCTGCAGCCTTTTAAAGAGTTTTGATTGTAATATGGCTTCACGTTTTAATCCTTAATTGATTCCTAATGACCAGCCTGAACACCACATTGTTTTTCTGCCTGTTGCATCGCTGCAGCGTTTCAACCATACTGCACTCTCAGTTGTTTTGCTACCACTTAAAATACATTGTTTAGTTTTAATTTGGGGGGCAGGGGGAGGGATTCCTATTCTGCATCAGTAACAGCATTTTAAAAGACCACATTCATTTTATTCTGATTATTAAAGTAAAAATCATTCCTTTAATTAAGTAGTTATGGTTGAAGAAGAGTAATCAATTACAGTATTATAGGTCATGTTGTTTGTTAAAGTTATCTTACAAAACTAATTATAAGAAAATAAGAGAAGACTGACTTTGCTAACCAGAGCTGTCCCTTCTTTCGACTGAAGTTATATTTTTATGTAGCAAATAATTTCCTGGTGCTTATAAAAAAAGAAACATGACATGCTTATTGCTGCTACTCCTTAATTAAGCAATTAATTAAGCAAAATGTCCTTAAAAGGACATTTTTAATGTAATTACAGTGCAGAGCTCAATCAGCAAGGTTGTTCCGTATTTGAAACAGAAAGACAAAAGGTCTGTGAGCGCTGCAACAATTACAAGACGACTAGATGAAGTGGAGCTCTCAGGAAGAAGCCCAATCCTAGAAAAGATTACATATTTACAGTGACAAGTTTCATAATTGACCAGCCAAAACAGCAAAGGAAAGATAACATATTAAAGGGCTGATAAAAACAAGATTGATCTTTTCAGGTACAGATAGTAAGCAGATCATTACCAAACACAGATTCCAGGTTTTAATCCCCTTTCGGATCGATCCCCAGTTTAATATTTCACATTTAAGTTTAACCTTTTAGCCGGCAAAGGTCCCACAGTTTGAAATCGTCTCTCTTGGTGATCAAAATCGCCCTGTGGGATTCGTGCTTCAATCTTTGCGTTTTGTTTTCCTCACTTCTACCTCTCCATACTTTGGAGTTTAATCTTATTTTACCAGCTGTGGAGGTATTTGCTGCGTCTGCCTCCGTCTCCCCCTGCAGAGGGAGAGAGCGGAAAGAAGATTATGGACAACTGGAGAACATTATGTGCATTAATGTTGGCGGTGAGAGTTTTACTGCCTCTTATTGCCTGGACCGTGTCTGACTCCTCCTGGCATTCCAAGCATGGATAATTTTCAGACAAATTTAATGAAGGCGAGCTAATCACCGTCAGAATGCTGATCTTTCCTGTTTGCATGGCTATTAGGCGAGCTTACGTTAGCTCTAATGGAAGTCTCTCAATTGTGTCTGAGATTTTACTTGTTTTTTCCTCGAGTTACGTGTTCCTGTTTTGTAATTCTTTGGATTTGGTGTTCTGTGAATGCTCAGGAAAAAAACAACAACAAAAAAAACATCAAAAATAGTAAGAAAGAGGGCATAAACTCTTAAAATTAAAGTTTGTATGGAGTTAAATAGGGATTTGTGTTTTAAAGTGCAAAAAACTAAAAATGAAAAAAATAAAGACACATAATTTAACAGTTCAAATGTCCCAATCGTTAATCTTGTCTGCAAGTATGGTCTACTAATTAATTGCTTAATCCTTAAAGTCATTGAATGTAAAACATTAAACATGCCACATTTTCTAAAAATGGACAAACTTTTGCTATGAGCTATGTTTTGGGTTGTATGTCGTTAAATATGTGTGATGTGTGAGTTTTCCCAGGTCTCTCATTGTAAGACACCATGAATCTTTCAGCTTCATGTTGTCCAAATGTTCATATTTAGACATGTTTTTTAGCACTTTCCCTACTTGGCATCTTAATGACACCACTTCAACTTAAAAAAGGATCTTCAAAGGCTCTGATTATTTGATAGATTATGTAAAAAAGGACAACATAATGCTGTCTGGTGATTGGTGTGACAGTGGATGAGCTTATTATTATTTGTGCTTCAGTTTCTATGGGCCTTTGCGATCTCATTTCTTTTATCAGAAGATGTAAAGAGTAAAAAAGAGCCACCTGGAAGAGCCAGTATCAAAAGCATAGAGTAACTCTGTGGTAAAACGAAATGTTTGTTCAGTAGAAGTTGTGCTTTCACACATCCAATATATCACCTATAACAACATGTGTACTTTTCCCACCTTTTGTTGCTGGAACAGCCTTGACCCGTCGATGATTGGACTCCTCCACAAACGTGACAGTGTGTTGCGGTAGATGATAGAAGCAGAAGGGCATCGGTGTGACACAGATGCCCTCGTGACAGCGAAGGGGTTTTACACAATCTCATCATTCAAGTATGTTTGTAAAATCTGTCCTCCACCCAGAAAACCTAGAAGAAAAGCAGGTCTCCTACATGCTGAGATAGGGCTTTAGTATTCTGTGCTTCTCTTTTCAGCCATACTGAGTGGGTGATGAGCATCAAAGAAATGTCCGAATGAATATCACAAGTCAAGGTTTTTCAGAACAACACTGCATCATCAAGAGTTTCTTATCTGGGGGCTTTTATTGTTACAATGAAGCATCGTTTATATGTGAGAGAGTTCACAAGTATGTGGTTGTTCAAAATGTCTCATGTGGATATGTTGGGTTTTTTATTGAATAAATATATTTTTTAATCTGTCATTACTTACATATTTTCAGAGATGGAGGGAGAGCAGTGTCCCCAATTGTGCTTCTTTTGAACACGTTGCACTGGAAAAACCTTTTTGTTGGTTGTAAAAATTTGGTTCACTTTTACCACATTTGCCAAATCATTAGGAAGTCCCCAGAGGAAATGTTTATTGAAGTACATGTCATTGTGTAAGTTTGAGTTTTTTATTCTTTTTTGTTAAATCATCAAAATCAGTTGCCGCCTCCGTCTCTGTGTTTGGGTGACGTACATAAACCACTGGGTATGGGACACGAGTTTCATTGGAACGCAATGAAATTCATGTTTTATTTGAGTCAAATTGGTCAGCATCTGCATAAAACTTATGCAGATGCTGATTTTATTTTATGACAGAACTTGGAACCTGCTCTCGCTGACAAAGTACCAATACTGAGCACAATACATGAGCTTCAGAGTGCGTGATCCCATGAGCAACAGCCCAGTGATTCATTCCTCTTAACTTGACTGTGCTGCTGCTTTAGAATGCAGAAGTTGTGATCCATGTTTTAATATACATCTGTGTGTGACGCTCTCAAAAGTCCAGAGCTGCAGGTCTTGTTCAGGGCTTCATTTTCAAGCCACAATTTTTCCTTCCACTCAGCTTCCCGTTAATATGCGGCTCTCTGGCAAGTGTCGTTTTTAGAAGTGCCTTTTTGTGGAGAGTTTTAGTGACTGGTTGCAGAACAACTGTAGAGTCAGCATCTTCAATATGATTGTGTACAACATGGTCCTAATGTAACACTTTTGTTTTGGAAATCTTTTATTGATCTGAATTTCCAAATCTTCTGTGAATTTGAATTTTGTGTTTTCATCACGGACGAGTCATAGTCATCAAGATTACCAAAAATAAACACTTGAAATGTGTCAGTCTGTGTAAAAAAAAAAAATCTTTACAATATGTGGCTTACACATTTGGGATGGTATGAATCACATAACTTAAGGGCTAGATTTTAATTTATTTACCTCCACCCTCAAATTTGATAAACACATTACATATAAGTTACATTATACAGACTCATATTAAATGTTTATCTACACTTCTGTGTCATTTCTGAATTTAGTTTAACATTTATGACTGACACATTAACAACATCCAGGACTGTTTGGCTTCAGTTACACGTTTCACTCAACCCAAAAAAAATAAATACAAATATTGCTTCTCAGACAAACACAGAAGCATTATGCCAAGTGTTGCCTCTGTATTTTTTTTTTTTTTTTTTTTTTTGCTTGAATTGTTGGTGTTATTTGCAAGCACTTCAAAATAAGGTAGGAGGAAAAAAGCTCAAACATTATAATTGCAAAGTAGATGTCAGTGGCAGGCTGCAAACGGTGGCAAATGAAAGACGGTTCACAATCTGGCAAACATCTTCCTTAATGCATTCTGTTAAGCTAACGTAATGGGTCTGACCTCATTAAAAGGTGTTATCAGATGAAGTGCATTGATATTATTAACATGTCTGCTCAAATTTAATGAGTAGCAGTAGGAGCTCTCCTTTTTGCTTCTTTACATTTAAACTGTTACACCATATGTCTCACAGCTTAGCGAATGCCAACTTCTTTCTCTTTAGGGTTGAAAGTTCTCAACTTTTTTCTTAGACAGAAGAGACCGCCGCGATTCCTCTGCTCAGTCCCAGACATCTTAACAGATAAGACGTGAGTACACAAGAGCCAGTCATTCTCTTATTACATCTCCCATATCATCATCTTCACACTTCTTCCCTTCAAAAAGGGAATTTATTTTCAGCCTCTCACAACCTCTCACTCCTTTCATCTCATTGAGGAAATTACCAAACATTTTCTTATTCTAACTCCATTAACTGTTTAACCATCATTTGGAATACATGTGTTGCAGTTTTCTGGATTAAATCAAACAAATATTGCTGCACTCATAAGCATTTCTAATCATTGCAGACGGAGCACTATGAACAAAGATCCATCCAAAGCTTCTAAATTATTTTTTGACAAAAGAAAAAAAAATCCTCCAAATGAAGTTTCGATATGAGTCAATGTCAATTATAAAAAAAATATTCTTGCATCTTTTTTTCTGTCTATTCCTTGGACACCAGTAATGCTCTGCCTGTCATATTCAGCCACATTAATATGTCTGGGGACAAAACAAGCGATCCATCAGTCCAGGATAAGCATTGCTGGTGTTAATGCAGCTGGGAAAAGAGGCAAAATGTCACACAATTTGGTTTGTTAATAGCCAGGCGGGATGTTTTCATGCGAAAGCCTCCAGAGAATCAGGATTCAATTAACCAGCGAACGCTGGGATTTCTGCACAGCGTTAACCTCAGAAACCTTGGGCCTCATCAGTCTGTTTTGTGAGCTGAGCAATGACACGACTGCCAAATCCTAGAACGATTCAGCTCTGAGATGTCTTTCATATTTACCTTCACGGTGGCGGGAGGTGGAGGTTCATCTCGTCTCCTTTGTGTGACATTGCTTTGTTTCTGAAGTCTTGCAAAGGTAGGGAGTGTGTAGGAAGAAAGGTGTGAGACAGAAGGAAGGAAATTCCTGGTTTCATTTTTCTCAGCCAGAGATTAAATTGATCTTAATAGCTCACTGCTACCATCTGGTGGTAAAATATATCCACAGGCACTTTCTTACTTTCAGGCTCGAAGATGAAACAAGATGTTTCTAAAATCTGCTAGAGGGAGCTTTGGACATCAAGTGTTTCCTTGTGTTCTTGTCTGGCCTGAGCAGGATCAAATAACACTTTGGGGCAAAGATGCAACCCAGCAGCCCGTAACTGGAGGCCAGGATCGCAAACACTTCTGTGACTGTTGCGTACTTCCCCGGAGAGCTGATATAGGCGGGAATGAATGCTATCCAAACGGCACAGAAAATCAGCATACTGAAAGTGATGAGTCTGGCCTCGTTGAAGCTGTCGGGAAGCTTCCTGGCCAGGAAGGCCAAGAAAAGACAGAGGACTGCCAAGAGCCCGATGTAGCTCAGTACCAAAGCGAATGCAATGTACGAGCCTTCGTCACATAAGAGAATGATAAAGTCTTCCTCACGTGGCATCAGTTGGCGTGGAGCAGGGGGAGCAATGAGCAGCCACACGGTACAAATAAGGACCTGCATAAAAAACCAAAAAACAGATGTCTTACTCAAACATTTTGAGAGTTCTTTACAGATTATTCATAAAAAAACAAACAGAAAAACAGCAAAGTCTTACCTGGATGATGGTACAAATGGCAATAATTGCTTTTTGCTGTGAGGGGCCAAAGCATTTAATGACATTGCTGCCTGGAAGTTTTGCATTGAAGGCTACCAGCACCACTAATGTCTTCCCTAGGATGCACGAGATACAGAGCACAAAGCTGATCCCAAACGCTGTGTGGCGCAGCATGCAGGACCACTTGGATGGCTGGCCAATGAAGGTCAGAGAACACAAGAAGCACAGCGTCAAGGAGAACAGCAGCAGGAAGCTCAGCGCCGAGTTGTTAGCTTTGACGATGGGTGTGGTTCTATTGCAGAAAAATATCAGGACCACAAGACAAGTGCTGAAGGAGCCGATGAAAGAAATGGCAACCAGGGTGATGCCCATGGTGTCTCTGAAGGAGAGGAACTCCACCCGTTTGGGGACGCACGCGGTCCTTTCAGCGTTGGACCAGAAGTCCGGTGGGCACTTTGCACACTCTATGGTGTCTAAAAGAGAGATGGAAATGACTTAGCTGTGGTGCCTAAAGCTTTTTTAGTAAATCAGAATATTATTAAAGTATCAATTTCTTTTAGCAACTTATTTCAAAAAGTGCAGATTCAATAATATATTTTTCAATGTTTTTTTTGTTCTGTCAATGTAAATCATTATTCCTTTGACTGGAACAATGATCAGCATATTTGATGAGGACTTGCTTTATGACTTTGATGATATCATTTGACACAATTCAATGCTTATTGCCTGTTTCATAAATGATGACTGTATGATGTTTGAATGACAGACCAATAAATCAATCAAGTTTGATTTAATTAGTATAGTACTTTTCATCAACAATGCAGTTCAAAGTGTTTGACATCATGATGAAAAAAAAAACACATATAGTCAACCATTTTGATGCTGAATAACAGACAATGCATTTTGTCAAGTATCACTGTTGAAATCACTAAAATCACCAATTTAACATGTTGGTCAATGGTCCATTTGTTATGATTCACAAGCTGTACGAATATATTTGACTTCACTTGACTTAATGAAAACCAAAAACTTCTCAGAAAACTCAGAGAATTTCCCCAGAAAACTGTATTTTATATATATATATATATATATATATATATATATATATATATATAATATATATATATAGATATATATATATATATATATATATATATATGTAAACACATTAAAAACTGTTTTACTCTAGAAATGTTATGCCATTCCTACCGAATCCTGGGGAAGACACAAGTCTTGACAGATGCCCTAAACAATAACACTTTCAACAAGAAGGGTAAAATATTAAAGGTCATGTCTGAGGATACTGGCTGTTCAAAGAATGTTGTATGCAAAGAACAGCTGAGTAAAAGAAGAAATGCGTCGAAGGAAAAAAAAGACATAAGGAAATATGGAGATTGAGGGAGATTTACAGATATATGCAGTGGAGCAATCACCAAATTGAGTCCTGACAATGCATACCTTGTCGAGCTCACAGTTTGTTGGGAGGACGCCAAGCAAAAGGCCTTCAAAAGGAAAAGTACCCTGACCTTGCAGTCAATGTCAGACAGTCAAGAAGGATTGCAAAAATTTAGCTAGCCAAGGAGGTTACTGGGAGTTTTATTGCAACATATACTTTGAGACTGGTCTTGACATCGGTAGTCACACCTCAGGCCAGATCATCAAAGAAATTTTGAGTGTGGCAGAGTGGAGAAATTAGGGGTTTTAGCTCAAAAGAATATAATCCCAACCTTTCTCCCCCACAGGAAGGCTGGACAAATCCTTAGAAAAATCTGATGCTCTGCACTGGAAACATCTCACGCATTATGTGCAAATTTCCTCATTGGGATGAAAGGATGTTAAAACCTGACCCAGGGACGGGAACACTGTGTCTCGTTTAGTCCTTGATACTTTGTGTGGTCCTTGATACGTTGTGTGGTCCTTGATACTTTGGTGGGAATTTGAAAATATATTTAGCTCTCTGAGTAACAGACCTCAGGGTCAGTTGAGATATTTCACATGGTATGTAACCCTTATGGAGTCTTCAGAGACGGCTTCATTTCGACCTCACAAGCTTTCAACTGTGTGCGGTCCAGCGGTGTGCACTTTGATTAACTTTTTTTTGTGTGTTAGTGTGTCTGCGTGTGTGTGTGTGTGTGTGTGTGTGTGTGTGTGAGTGGTGTTGGAAAACAACGGTTTGATGGGGCAAACCGCACCATTTACCAACCCTTCCCCTAAGACCGGAGTAAGGTTAGTCTGATTCATTAATTTTCAAATGAACTAATAAATTAATTTTAGATGCACCTGTACAATATGTAAAATTATTCACCACAATGGGCCTGCTGAATAATTTTGCCTCACCAGAGAGATTGCTGATCTCCCCAGCTGTACAAGCCACACAGTCATAGCAGCAAACAGGAAAGTTGGGTCTCATCGCCTTCCGTGTGCCCGGAGGACAAACAGTGCTGCATACTGATGAGGGAACCTAGAGGAAAAAAAACAAAACCAAGATGAACTTCATTTCTGCTAAAACCGTTTACAAATCCCACATATATTTTAGCAATTTATTTTCATTTTATTCTATTTTTTACCCTGGTTCGGTTGCCATTCCAAAAAATGATTTCTTCATGGATGTAAAGTTTTTGTTTCACGTCTCCGGTCTTGCCATCAAATTTGCCAATGTTGATAAACTCAATTTCCCCATTTGGATTCATCTGCCAGTTAACGAGATCATACATGGCTGCAGGGTCACCATTCTCATCGAATTTAATTTCACTTGCAAATGAATTCAAGTACTGCACTTGCTTTAGGTAATAAAGCAGCTAACACAAAGAAGGTGTGTGTGTGTGAGTAGAAGAAGTGAACGTTAGCACATCTTAATCTGCAGTGAGTAACTTAAACATGCAATTGTACCTGCCAAGGCTGAATAACATCTGGATCTGCACAGGACCTCTGAAAAAAAGGTCCTTCTCCTTTCACACAGCTTTTCAGTGCCTTAAGAGCATGGGCGGCAGCATACACCGCTTTGTAGACGTTGTAGGAAATCCTCAGCTGTGATACATCTGAATAGATATTCGTCACGTTCCCAAGGTCTTCCTTCCCAGAGCATGGAGGCTTATTTTCGCCTTCCTTTTCCTGACTTTCAGTTTGAGCACCCAGGCTGCACTGAAACACCTCTTCCCAGAAGGACACAAGGAAGGGATCCGTCTGGGCTTCCGATCTCGATGGATTCAAGCGAAGCAGAAAGTCTCGCAATCCCGGAATGTTTGCCTGCTGAATGGCAAAGCCAACCGTACCTTGGAGGATGTGGTGGTACCTTTTGGGGGTGGAAAGTACAGCTGCTGTGCTCCAAGCTTCACTGGCTAACCACTGTATCCCAGTGAGCTCGCTTCTGTATGTAACAGAGATGGATGGAAATAAAATCACTGAAAGTGTGTTCTCTGTGTATGATTGGCATGCAGCAAAATCTAAAGCTAAAGTATCACACCTTTGTACTTCATCAAACAACGCCGCCGCATCTTGTTCCACAGCAAAAACCAGAATCACCTTTGCCCCAGACAGGCGGATGACGGAAATGATGGATAAAATTTCCTCCTGGTGTCGGTTCTTAGGGATGATTCTATGAAAGGCAACACAAACACCCAACTTTGTGACCTGGGAGAAGAAGAAAAAACCCGGAAGATCCATAGTGAGCTATATTTTAACGTTAGCTCACAAAACAAAATATTTATACTTGTAAACATGAATGTTCGACCCACCTCACTAGCGAAAATGTTTGCCCCATCACGACCATAGGCATCATCACCTGCAATCACACCAACCCACGTCCAGCCAAAGTGCTTAATGAGCTGAACCAGAGCGTCTACCTGGGAATAGAGGAACGCTGAAGTGAGAGGACGTATCACTTAATTATGTAGACGACATGGACATGTTTCTGTTTCTGCTCAATGTTTCTTTGTTAAACTCACTAACCTGGAAGAAGTCACTCGGCATGGTCCTTAGGAAGGCAGGGAACTGCTTTTTGTCACTCAGACAGGCACAGCTGGAGAAATAACTTATCTGTAAAATGATCACAACTTTTAATAAATGGGGAGTTATAATTAGAAATGGAGAGGTATTAATAGTAGACCATCTTATAGTTAAAAGTGTGGAGAAAGGAATAAACATATTTAACATTTTTGTCCATTTTTAACAAATAAAAAAAAAGCGTATCATGCATTTGTACTAAACCCACTTTAAAATCTACAGCAATAAACAACCTCTTTTAGTTAATTATTCAATAAATCTCAGTGTAAATATGACTCTGGTACTGTGAAAATTAGAGCAAACATATTCACAAAGGCCAACTAATACAGTGGTGGTGGTGGAGCATTTCAAAGCAGGGTTTGATTATGAAACAATACCAACTTTTGCCAATCTAACGAAAAACTTGTCAATCCTACATCTGAAAGTGACAATGGCACAATTCTTTGCTTTACAAATCCTGCTATAAAGGTTTTTTTTTCACATTTGGCCATGTGACAAACTTGTATCTTTTTGTGTTTGTTTAAGGGATACACCGACACAAACATAACTGCTTGAACCAAAAACCCCTTGTTTGCTAGAAAACTGAAACTGCAAATGGCCTCGAGACGCACAATGAAACATGATGGAATCATCACGCTGCGAGAACTTTTCTCTCGAAACGGGACAAGAAAATTGCTGGTTGCTGCGTTTGCATGTTGCGGTTTTCAGATTCTTATTTGTAAAACATTTCAAAAAGTGTGTATTCAATCCGGTCCTTCACATAAAATACTGAAAAAAAAGAAAGCTTGTGTTTGAAGGGGAATAATAAAAATATATTTTTAAAAAACCCATTGAATATAAATTGTTTTCTAAGTCACAGTAAAACATGCATTTACTTGTGGCACGGTGAAGACGCCAAGGAAACGAGCCACAACGAGAGACTGAGTGGAGCCTCCGTCTCCTATCACCAGCGGCACGCTTTCATTGCAAGTTTTTTCTCCAGCCTCTGAGCTCTTCTCACCCCCCATTAGCTCCATGGCAGCCTTCAACGCCTGATGCGGTGTGCTGCATGAATCATAGATCTTGTATCCGACTGTGATGTTCGGAAGAAGCCTCCCCTCCTTGTTGATCTCTTCGATTGCAAAGATCATAGTTTGCATCCAGCGGAAGGTTCGGAAATTGAATCTGGTTCGAGAAAGTGTCGATAGAAAGCCACATGAAGAAACTTTCTGATCAGGGTGATAACTGTTTGTTTTGTTTTTTTACACACACATAGCACCCAATTACAAGTCTTACCTGGTGCATTTACTTTTAGGAGGCTGGGAGGTGAAAGGCAAACTTTGCTCCTCCACCATGTCATGAAGGGAAAAGAGGCCCCCCAAAATGATGTCCCCCTTTTTCTCCAGCACAGGCATAGTATTGGGTATCATTCGACATTGCAGGCTCAGGTCTTGGCTGGAGTTGCGAGGAAATAACAGATTCAAGACAAAACTCAAAAGCACAAACCGGGCTCTCCTTGTTGTAGGAATGACCACAACCAGTCCCATCCAAAATAGCTTCATCCTACTTTATCAAAGCCTCTTCAAATGACAGCACATTTGAAGAGGTTGTACAAAAACAGAAAAAAGCAGACTCGACGAGTTCAGAGGAACGTTTCAGCCTGATTCAAAAAACCTCCAGAGTTCTGTGTCTTCGCAGCCCCTCATAAAGCAGCAGATTAACTATCCAGCCTCTGGTGTCATGTAAGAGATTCTGCATTTCTATCAATCAAATCAAGCAAAAGATTTAATTTCCCTTCTGTGTTCTGTGGAAAAATCCCCGTTTCACAGCAGGCAAACAAAAAAACAAAGGGGGGAAGGGATATATGAGCTCTGTCATAACGCAGAGTTATGCTTGAGTAAGGTTAATTCATCCTGCACTAATGCGATGAGACACACAGCAGACAAGTGTCACTGGGTCTGTTAAACTACATTAGATCCACTTTTTGTCTGTCAAGTGCACAAACAGAGAGACTATTTCCATCATTTTAGAAGACTTTAATCCTTCCTGGAAGCATCACTTTCCAAAATTTTAATTGACTTCTACAACATATATGTACAACAACAGCGTAGTGTATAAAACAGGTTGAATTAAAAAGACCGATGCACTCGATATAAAAGTTGTCATACTTCTGTTCTAGTTTTTCTCGGTTCCTCCAGTGCATTTATCTGTACAACAGCTAGTGTTTCCCCCAAAAAAGAATGAACACCAAGAGCAAATCACTTGTTTAAAATGAATAGATCTTTCACAGAAATGCAAAATGTCATCAAAATGATAGTCCTGACATCATTGTTAAGAAACAACATACATAAGTTATAATGTTATAAAATGGGAGAGAACAGTATGGAAACAACTGATGCATGTGCAAAAGGATGTGAAGTTTTTTGGAAGAAATGAAAACTCCATACCGTGATGAGCTTATGACTTAATATTGTGGAGGTTGAACTCACAGTTTTGAGGAATTTTTTCATTTTGATCCGAGAAATGCACCAAAGCAATTGATTAAAAATATAACAATATTGTAGAATACACTTAGTACAATACTAAGTTTTTAGGAGAAATGTGAAATATGTGACCTACCTAGTTCCATAAATGTGTACGCTGTTAGGTCGAGTGTGAGAGTATCGGATTAAAAAAAAAAAATCTTTTAAAGTAAAAAAAATTCCTGCTATTGGTATTCAGTCTGGATCCATACTGATAAAGAATAACGCAGACGTGACACCTTTTAAGGCCTGTAAATAGATTTCTAAGTGAAGATTTCAAACTGGTGCTTCAGTGGTTTCATAATGATCTTGACAGCTTTTAATAGTTCGGAGCAGGTAAGGGAATGTGGACTGTTTGATTGAAATCTGCAAGAACTGTTTTGCAAAAGGGTGAGGAAAATGTGTCAAACCAGTGAGAAATTCTCATCACATTTCCAGGAGGTGTCTCATACTCTGCTGAAATAGTAATGATGACAACTCAGTGGAATCCCAGGTATTGTAAGTAGGTCAAAGCAATCGGAAAAGTTGCAAGATTCAAGATTACTTTTTTGATTCCTGCAGGAAAGTTATTTTGTCCAAACAGCCCAAAAAACAAATACTAGAAAGGATAGAAATATCTTCTTGTGGATTTAAAATTTACTTTCATTGTTTCCACAATTTAATGTGCTTTCATTTCATTCACAATACAGCTCATGCTTTTTTTATATATAATTGTGGTGTAACATGCAAGCGACTGGGGTGTTTCACAAATCATTATTACCGACATAAACACTTCGGGCTACACAACAGAGCACCTCAGAGCATGAAGCAAACAAAATATTACATGCAGCCTGTTGTGTAGCCTCTGGCAGGTAGGTGTGTCTGCAAACTTAATATTTCCCTGTGTGGCACCAGATGAAGACATGCCGCAAGAGCCAGCAGACATCGGGTCCTTTACGTCTAGGCAAGATTCCAGGCTCAAATGAACATGTGCTCTCAGGGGAGAAAGTTAAACTTACATTTACATTTTCCCATGTTTCAATGTAAATGCAGCTATTGGATGACTCATTTCAGTCAGTAAAAGCTGAATAACTCATGTAATTTTATCATTGCACAGGCCTTCATTATGCACAGACTAAAAGCACACTGCTGCCATCTTGTGTATAAAATTATTACACTTGAACAACGTAATAATTATGTTTACACAACATAATTATCACATTTACACAATGCAATATGTTTGACAAGGCAATTGTGCTTTTACAGCATATGTTTTCATAGTGTAATTTTTATGTCATAAAGGGATGTTGTGTGGAAACGTATTTACTTCTGTGACAGCAATAGACTTCAGCAGAGAGGATGAATATCAAAGCAGACAGAGAGATAAAGACACAGAGCTGTCTCAGAGAGCACAGGGGAATGAATAATGAAATAGTGAAACTCTGAGAAACAACAGAACAAACAACATAAAAACAAGGCAAGGAGCACAGAAATGCAAAGTGGGTTTTTTTTTGGTATTGAATAAACTTTTTATGATGCAGGTTTCATTACGATCATATTGTGCTCCAATATAAACATTGTCTAAGAAATATCACTATATGTCAATTGTGTTTTGATTCTTTTTATTAGCACCTATCCTATAACATATAGTCTTGCTAATGGCAAGACTATATATCTATATGACTCCTGAGGGTTGCAAGGCCAAGACATGAACAGGACTGTACTATGTGGGTTGTAATTAATTTATATATGGACCAGAAAAACATGCCACTTAGGTTCAAATCAGACTGTATTCTTAGTTAATTTATTCATTCTTCTTTTTATTCCCTTGCCAGAGAATTGTATTTTTTATTTTTCTGTCTCATTTAAATAAAATGTTAATGGAAGTCTTGAAAAATTAAGCAAAGGACCCTTCATGCCTGCATGTTGCATCCTTCATTTGCCTGAGAGCATTTATCTTACCAATTTGCATCATTAAAACTAAAATGCAGAGATTATATTATATCTTGTTATTTGAGCTGGGACTGTGATGCCACAAACATAGCCTAAAGTACTTTATTCACAAATTTTTCTCAAATTATCACATACAAGTGCTATTATCCAAATGACTTAATTACATTTTTTTTTTTTTGCCATCTTCAGGCTTTTCCCACTTAATTTAACTGCCAAAGGTTTGAAATAACATAACTACTACAAGTATTAATTTCACAAATGTAATATTTGGAAAAAAAAAACATAAATTAAAATGTGCTTCATTTGTATTTTTGTTTTGTTAATATTTATTTGTATAACATTTTTAATTTCACTCTTAAAAATGCCAGACTTTGTATGAAGCTTTATGCATATGTTGTCTTTATGTCTTTATGCATATGTTGTCTTTTAAGTATTCACTTTATTATGTAAGAAATAATACACATATTATTAATATATATTACCTCATGTAGACATCATTATGTCCTCCCCAGGCAGCTACTAGTGTGGTATATATCTTGATCTTCATAGAATTGCCGCTAATGTTGTGAGCATGTTGCAACATTCTGTGGTCTGAACAACAGAACGCTAAGACAACAAGTTTAAGATCCAGCAACAACATCATTCTACCTCAGGCTGCTCTATGCAGAAGCTCCCTCTGCTCTAATGAAAATTTGCTCTACAGATTTCTTGGAGCCACTCTCTCTGATCCGTGTCCGTTCTGCTTCCTGATCGATTCAGCTAATAAACGTCAGACCGCTTTGGCTCGCTGGTGGACTGTGCCGTCAACTTCCATCAATTATCGTTCAGTTTTTTACAAATAAATAAGCTATATGTTGACATAAATCTAAGGCTATGTAACTCAACCTGATCTTACTGAATTTATTCCAGTGTACTCAACAGGGCAGGAAAATAAAAGAAACATGCAGTCTTCCTGCATGTGTGAAAGCACACATTGTTTTATTTATATGTATTTGAAAAATGTATTTAATTGTCCAAGTAAGTAATCTGATCTTTTAGGATGAATTTTACTAACCAAAGTCCAAAGTATTGAAGTAATTATGTTATGACAATTTTAGTGACGGCCTTGTAAAGTTCCATAAAGAAAAAACAAAACATATTTGAGGACCATCACAAAAAAAAATTATTAAATAGATTTGAAGTTCTCGTGGTATTATAATTCATTTAACTAAATGAACCTAAAGATAAAATTAAACAGTAAGGTAATCTTTAATTGTCTCTAATTCTAGACAGACATTTTTTTTAATTGAAGTACAAAATTTAGGCTTCTTTGTGGACATAAAGCATATGTGTTTTTATGACATAACTTATTTTCCTAGATAAAAGCAAACTTTTAACATCTGGAGGAACCATGTCGGTGCGACTTGTTTGTGTGACCTTATGCATTAGGAAAATGGCAAATGAACCACACTTGTTGTTCAGGTCAGATGTGTTTTCTGAACAACATCTGCAGAAGCACAACACACTTGGGAAACCCTGAAACTTGTTTTCGTGTTTGTGTGTATCAAGAGGTGACATCCTTACATCATCTTCAAAGTGCCAATTTACCTTTTGTCCAATGATGTTCAAGGCAGAGGGTGGATGCTGAGGAGGAAGTGTTCGTAGGTGTGTGTGTGTGTGTGTGTGTGTGTGTGTGTGTGTGTGTGTGTGTGTGTGTGTGTGTGTGTGTGTGTGTGTGTGTGTGTGTGTGTGTGTGTGTGTGTGTGTATGTGGCTGTGTGAGGGAGAGGGTGCAATGGGCATGCAGTGACAAGCAAGAATGACTACATCGATGCCAGAGGCTACAAAATAGGAGGTCGCAGGTGTTATGGTGGAAATTAATTACTTTAGGTTGTACAGATTATTCCAAAACACCGTGCTAACTTAATTGGGGAGACTAAATTGCATCATTTGTTTTTCCCTTTCAGCTGTAAATATGGCAATTGATTTGAAGTTGAGAAGTAGTAAACTAATGCGTAACAAAAGCTGAAGTTAATATACTGAAATATTATGTTTTGTGTCTTGAATATGAAGATTGAAACTGGAATAAAAAAATGTCTGCGACATCAGCTCCAAACCTGCTGCTTTGTCATTAAATAATATTTAATAATTGCTACTAAATTCTGGCAAGGTCAGAAATTTCATTTAAATCCTTTACTTCTTGTTTAAATGTTATAGGACACACTGCCTTCTTTCAAAGTCTCATTTCTTTGACTGAGTGTGTCACTCACAATTCAAATAAATTCACTTGATTCCTTCACTTCTAAAACGTTTTTATACGTCTGAAATATAATCATTGAAACACAGGCCAGTTCCTCCAAAAATATATATTTTCCATTCTCAGATATATACTTTTTTTTAAATGAATTTATTTTTTTATTTTAAGGATTTGTTATAAATTATGATCAGCGACAACAAATTCTGATTCCTAGTTAGTTTATGGAAGTTAAACAAATTTCCATCTATAATGACAAAACATTTTAAACTATTTTAGCAATTTTCTCAATTTATTTTCAAGGAGTATCAATACAATATATATATAAATATATATATATATATATATATATATATATATATATATATAAATATATATATATATATATATATTTGTACGTTCTGTTGTATTAGCTTTTTTGGGAGATTCAATGTGTTTTCTGCTTTATTTTTTGTGTTGAATTGTGTACAGTTTTCAGCAATAGCACAATAAGGTCAGGAGGTGGCAGCATCCTACATTTCTGTTTCACTGTTACTTATCAAAGGATTGTTTGCAACACAAATCTGAGATGTGGGAATTATTTTAAATTATTTTATTTTTTAGTACTTGTAAAGCGTGGTGGGCCGCCAGGTTTATGACACACTGGGGAAAACCTTGTTTGTTTCTGCGGGAAGAAATTGATCAGTCATCCAGATCATCACCAGACCTTCTTCTTGCGCACACAAATACTTTGTCCAGTTATTAGTGGTCAAGAGACAATCAGTGTACTAGAACATTAATTGATAAATGAAGAACTCCAACCCTATAAGCAGCATGTTTCTTGTTTAGCTCTAGTTTCAGCTACTCACCATGCTTATCTGATATAAAACATCTAAGTGGAAGCTTTCGCTCTAAAACTAAGATGAAATCAGTGATGGTTTATTCTGAAATTTGTACAAACTACCTGCATCAATCTCAACCTAAAGGCTTGTCAGAAAAAGCTCTGTGTGGTCTCTGCCAGTTTGTGGCAAACTGCAACGTTTTAATAGGGTTGTGCAATGAGTAAGCAATGGGTCCACTAATGTGACGAGACAAGGGGGTTTTGTCTTGCTGTGGTCTAAAAGTAGCTCTCAGTTCATTTAATTCTTTGTGTGAAGCAATGCATTTTAAAATGTGGAAACTCTTTTGGGTGACATTATAAAAAGGGTAGACTCACAGAAAAAAAAATATTGAACTGCTATTCATGCTGAATTTGTTGTATGGACTTAACAACACACATTGCTCGTGATGCTGATTTGAAAAAGGGGATAAAGACAAAATTAAGAACATCATTTTATAAAAATATTAAACTTGTTTTTCTTTCTTTTGGTTGCAAGGTCATAGATTGTGCTTTCAAAATTGTTCTGTCTATTTATGTCTGCAACAAGAATTGTAGATTCAGAGTAAAAAGGCATTTTTTTCTCACTGTCTGAAGTTAAATTAGACAAAATAGAATAGAATAGAATAGAATAGCATTTATTGTCATTGAACAGGATTCAACAAATTTTCTATTGCAACTCCCGTGCAATATCTCTTCTTTTAGGTTAGAGTAACCAAAAGTATTTTCGATTTGCTTAATAATATTGTATGTAACAATACAATATTAAATATTGTATGTATTTGCAACCAAAAAAAAGAAAACATACTCCATTTATGTTATTTTCAGAACAGTTTTTGTTTGTTTGTTTGTTTGTGACTTTCTTCAAATTCAGAGGTTTGCAGGAACTCATTTCCATTTCTTTCAACACTAAGGGAAAGCTCAGATTATTTGGAAAAGTCTAACAGGTCGACTGACAATGACATTTGCAACACAAAAAAGGAAATATTGTAAGTTGAGCATATTTTTATTTCTTTTAGTCAAGCGCACCCTCTGTACGCCTCTCCTCCCGTCAGAAATGTTCCCTCAAAACTGTGTCTTTGACTGTGTCACCGTTATACTCTAGGAATTCAAATAAATTCTCTTGATTTATTCACCTGTACAACTTGTCGACATCTTAAATGAACCCTTTATATCTCAGGAGTTTACAAAATATGTACATAGACTCTGATAAAACATATTTTGAACAATTTTAATCACTTTCATACATTAATTTTTAGGAATTATCAATAAATAATATATAGGGAAATGTCATGTGACTTCTTAGGTTCTCGATTTGCCTTCTTTTTCGAGTTGAATTGTATAGAGATTACAGCAGTAGCACAATAAGGTCAGGAGGTGGCAGCATTGTACAATATATATTTCGGTTTCATGTTATTAAACAAAGGGTCGTTTGTAACCGTGTGTCTTTCAACTCATTATCTAAGCCCATATTAGCCTTATTATTATTGTACCATTTGATATTTGTTTCATTTTTTATTTTTTGGAACTATTGCAAGTTGACTAAGATCACAAAGCAACTTTGTTGTGAACGACTGGTGTGTACAGACAAAGTGTCTCTATAGTCATTATTAAACTATGATGCAACCACTCTGAAGGAAAGTTTCCCAGTCAAACTTTAAGAAGATCATGTTGTTGGGATTGAACCGTGAACTCTACAGAGGGTTTTTAGGCTTGTTATTGGAAAGTGCATGTAAGTCACAATCATGCCCAAGGCACATGTACCATTTGTTTTTCTAAATCAGTTCCCAAATGACCTAACAAAGTGAGTCTAAGGCGTTTCATAAATTAGAAGTCTATCTAAACATATTCAAACCAAAAATCAGTTTTAATTAAGAGAAAGGACTGAAAGCCACATAGGATGGCCTCAAAACATCTCCTGGGGCCGGTAAGAGAGAAAAACATCAGATTAAATGCCACATGGCTCACTGCTTAACATTTTCGTTTAACTGCTTTATTTTGATCAATTGACAGATGTGCAACTTTAAGTCCCTTGTCACTGTCCAACTTTCAAAGCGAAGTGACATGTTGGGTGAAGCAGTAAGAAATAAACTTTTTATGTGGACGGTAATCCACATTTAAAGAAAACTAATATTAGGCCTCATAAGTACAATAAGATGTGAACTGCATTGACCAAATATATGTTGGAAATCTGAGATATAATGAAACCAACTCAGATTGTTGTAAACTGAAGTGGATGAGCATAAGAAAATACTTCAGTAGAATTAAAAACAGTATCATTCATAGGCAAGCACAAATAAAAAGCTACTATTAATACCAGCCACATATAACTCGGTTCACGTCAAAGAGCGTGACAAAAAGCGTGACAGGCGTCAGCTCGGTCGCCATGGCAGCGGGCTCGGTTGAACCAAATTTAATCCGTAAGTTTTTCACGTTTGTCTTCTTTTGTTTGTTTTGTTGTGCTGCCCAAATAAATTATGTATTTTAATCTACACATAGCGATATTTTTCCTACCACCTTCGTCTTATTTATTCAACAACCGTTGGAAATACTTTACAATGTCCTTTAAACACTGTTAGCAAACACTTTATTCACACGACAAGATATTTAGTTTCGTTTATTAGGAATAATAATAATCTGTTTTCGCTTACGACGTTGTCTGGCTGCTGAGGTCTTGAAATGTCTGTTTTTACTATTTTTTTTTTTAATTATTTTGCTGTCGTCATATTCATAGCTAAAGGCTAATGTTAGCTTGAGATTGATTCCAGATGTCCTGCATTGTTCAGTTTAAATCATTTTTGACAAAGGGGATTACTATTTATGTGTTTATTTTGTATATTTAATTTATAATAATAGTAAGTCCGAATCTTGTTTGTCTCTGTATTTAAAGGAATAAAATAGTATATATTAATAGGAAACGTGGCCGCCATATCGAATTTGATGAATATGCCATAAGCTATCAGCAAATTAACCAAATTTCATAAAAGCACTGTGCTGCAACTATAGATTGTATTGAACAACATTGTAATTTTGTCAGCAGATGCTTTATGATAACATCACCAATCACCATCCTCTTTGCACAGAGGGACTTCATCTGGAGAAGTGCGAGAAATAACTGATTTTCTGCCTCATTTTTCCCTTTGCCAAAAGTATTTGCAGCTGTGATTGGAAGAGCTTTGTCAATAAATTAACTAATGGTTTATTCCCCATTAGATCAGATGATGCAGCCGGTGAAAGATTAGACTTGAGGATGACAGAGACCGATACTCCAAAATCAGCAAGGAAGCCCCGTTGGACCCCTCTGGAAATGGGCCTATTTACTGTCGTCTCCTTGTTCCTTTTTATCATTGTTATCCTCATGGTCTTGTTTGCCACCCAGTCAAGTGAGTGTTTTAAGTAAAGATTAGCACTGATACTGATATGTTTTTTGCATGTTTTCTTGTCTTTAATAAAGTCAAACAAACGTGTGAGCAAAACAAGGGAATCATCTATTCGAAAGGATTTGTCTAGGACATTCATTAGGTTTCACTAAGAGCATGCACAAGTGCTGCCCTTTGCTCATATATGTTCAATGTGCTTCTCAACTTTGCTTCAAAATAGTCTTTGGAACAGAATTTAAAAAAAAAAGAAAAATATGCATGTGTTCAGAGGTCCCCTTAAAAAGGTGTTAATGATTCAAAAAGACTGTCTCAAATTTCTTGAGTCTAGGAACTCCATATTTCCTAGTTTTTTTTTTTTTCAAAAAAGGATGATGATCTAAGAAAAATTGAAAACCAAGGCCCAAATTTTTTCATTCAGTTCAAAGTCCAAGTTTTAGATTTTTACTCCTTCATGCTTCTGTTTTAAAATAAGCAGTGAAATAGGGGTTGAGTTAGTTCCCAAATGACCTAACAAGACCTAAGCAGGTGATCTATAGATTAGTTATTGATAAAGTTCAGCAGGTCATGATGATAGATGATCCTGACAGAAAAGGCCATCCAATTGACATGACGGCACCTCCTCCACCATGCGGGATCAGAGCAAACCTCAGACAAACAGTTCTATAATATCAGAGGTAGTGGAACTCAAGGCCTCACCGCCAACATTTTTTGAGTAATTTTTACCTTAGCAGTTGAGGCCAGGACGACAGAGCGGAAGATTCTCTGCTATTATTAATTTTCTGCTGGTCTGTCAGTGCATCAAAGTGTCATTTGATTGATACATGTCTGACAGAGAGAAAGTGACACTTGAGAGGAGTTTTGCGTTACATATGTGCAACAAATTAATGAATAAAAAGAAATGCAGAAGAAGAGAACAGAAAAAAGAACTGATTTAGATAAAATCAACCACTGAGTGCTGAAAAACCCACTGAGTTATGGAAATGTGTTTTACATTCTCTTGCAGATAAAACTTGCACCACAGCTGACTGCACACATTCGGGTAAGCAGCTTGTGTTTGTTTGTTTTTTCTCTCTCTATTGTTTCATCCTGAAGGCTTTGACTTCTCCCAGCGGGAGCCGGCAATGGAAAAGTGAGGCTGCAACAGAAGCATTTTAGTCATTGCTCACTGAAAATGGCCTCTTAGAAAGAGACATGTTCTCTTTCAGTCAAAACCACAATAAAGCAGATATGATCAGCCCTAGAATTGTGCATGTTCTACATGTATGTATTTTCAATCAATCAAGGAGTTTGTTTCTTACAGAAAATGAAACAGACATTTGCAAATATAACCAAATAATGTACAATGAGATTAAATTTATGAAAAAAGTTTCATATTCCTACTATTTACATTTGATTTATTAAATGTCACATAAAAATGATTTCTGTCCTTGATAAACTACATAAAACTTGACTATAATTGATATTAGAGCAATCTAACCCATTTCTTTGGTCATGAGCTCCAAGTCATAGAAATTGGAGCTTATCCAAGAGGTTATAAAACGGGATTGGCCAAAGTGATTCTGGGCGTCCGTTGATAACAATTCAAGAATAGCATGAATTTTGTTTGCTGGTTCATGCAGTTGATGCAGATCCACATTTAAATTTAAACAATGTCAGGAGGACATTTTTAGATGACAGACTTAAAAAAATACACACAAGTAAATCTCCTAAAATAGCAAATACTTTTAATTTCATTTCATTTAATGTATGATCAATAGGGATCAAAAACGTCAAAACAGCTTGACTGATTTTCGTTTTAGATTTTTTACTTTAAATCTACACTGACTGAAAACTTGACTTCACACTTCATTGAATATTTCCCAATTTATGTTTATCTAGTTAAACATTGAAACAGTTTAGTTTCCATTTTTATTGTAAGGCCTACAACAGAGTGCTCTTACCTTGCAACAAGCTTTGCTAAAACATAGTCTGACTCAGTGCAAATTACTCACAGATAAATGTACTTTCTTTAATTAAATCAGTGAAAATAATCAAAGCAACCTCAATAAATTCTTAAAGTTCATCCATAACTTAAATAATTTCATCTCATTTTTCAGTGATGATTAAACACATTAGGTTTTGTGTTAGTATCTGAAATTAGTGTTTTGGCCCTTTAGCTTTGTAGGAGGATTAGATCACTCTAATCACTGAGCTTTTTTAGCTTCTTTCCGTTTTCTAGCAGTCAGCTAATCAGCTGCAGCCTTCGTCCTTCAACAGGTTCTTAGCTAATCTTCTCTTTGAATACTTTGGTGTAAAATGATTAAACATATTTCCCAGAATGTCAGAGTATTAATTAGTGACATTGGAGCATCTTTTATTAGGTGGTCGATAGTAGCTGTTGTAAAAGACCTCATTAAAAGTTGAACTTGTCTCGATCTGTGATGTTGGACTGATTCATTTCTTTTCAATGTGTGGAGTTTTTATTTAGAGTTTTTGATTATCAGTCTCAATTGAGCAGACTTCCTGTTTTATTTTGAAAGACCTTTTGTCTGGAGCACCTATGTCTTGGTACACAACTGTATTAAATGAAGCGTGGCTACTCTTGTCAATGCTCAAGTTTCTTTCTCATCAGTTAGACCGTCTTTATGTTCTTCTGTCTTGTTGCTGCTTTGTTGTTCACTAATTTATTTCCCTGCCTTCCAGTTCTCTCTCTTTGTAAGTTTTATTACAGTCTTGACAGTCTTCCTAGCAGAACTAAATTGTATTTCATCTGCATAATTTGATAGGGCTTCTTACAACTCATACTATTGCAAACTATTTCATACTTGTTCAAGATTATTTTTGTCCCTCCCAATTAACCTCTCAATTTCCTGCAGCGTCTCGCCTCATTCAGAACATGGATGCTAGCGTGGATCCTTGTGACAACTTCTATCAGTATGCCTGTGGAGGATGGCTGAAAAAGAACGTCATCCCAGAGACAAGCTCCAGATATGGCGTGTATGACATCTTAAACTCGAACTTGGAGGTCATCCTCAAAGGTGACAGAATTTTAAAAGTTTTTTTTTTTGTTCACGAGTTTGAGTTTTAAATGGATTATTTCATAACTCAGCTTCATTAACAGAGATGTATCTGAAGCATTTTTCTTTACTCTGTAAATTTTGATAAAATATTGTAATACATCCTGTGACATTCCATGTTGTAACCTACACATAAAAGGGAAAGAGTCCCTCATGGACAATTGTCCAGGAGAGTCAATTATATCTTCAACAAAGGAAGATTGTTTCTAAAGAAGGATGCTGCTTTTACACTGCTGTATTAAAGTTGAATCAAAGAAAGTGTTTTTGAGTAAAGTGCATAAGCATGCTTGTCACTACAGCCTTAAAAATGAGAGATGTTAAACTCAACAGCTTGTTTTCCTGAACACAGGCATGGCCATAGTGTTCAGGGAAATTTCTTTTTTTTTCTCCCTAAACACTGTGAAGTTCCTGATTATCAAAACAATAATTGAGGTGTTTTGAAGCACTGGAGTTATTAAAAGTTGCAGAACAGCATCTCCTGAGGACCGCAGGTTGAGTCCTTTAGTTGGTTGTAAAAGAAAAAAAAAAAAAAAAAGAAAAGGCCTATTTTAGAGTTTGGGGGATTTTCACATTGTGAGGACTGCAGTTGAGCAGAAGTCTAATAACTACTATCAAAAACAACAAGGCAAGTTAAGTTTATTCAAAAAAAAATATTTCACTTGAAGGCATCTTGAAGTGGTTACACCTTTAAATTAAGAACATAAGCAGGCTGACAGTTTCTATTGTAAGAACACGCACACACTGTTGGAGCTAAATCTAAAAACAGCTCTGCATCATTCTGCAAGCATGTGCTGCTCCACATACACCCTCACCCTCTGAATTTTATCAGGTACTCTGATTTCACCTTTATCTTGTCCATTTTTTCCATGTGTGCTTTTGTTTGTGCTTATATGCAGGTGTCCTTGAAAAGAAGGTAGACAGGGAGGCTGCTGCTCTCACCAAGGCAAAGACACTTTACAACTCCTGCATAAACGAGAGTGAGTCACCAGACATAAGATGTGACTATAGATAAACTTTAGGTAAACTGTTATGTTTTGTATTGGCATTCTTTTGGGCAAATCCCATTTCTTTCAAAATGTGGAAGATAGAAATGTAATATTAGATATAATATCAAAAATTTCCATTTCACTTTCATAAATGGTTCGTTGTAGAATTAATTGAGCAGAAAGGAGGACGTCCTTTGTTCGACATGCTGCCAGATATCTTTGATTGGCCCATAGCTGTGGACAACTGGGAGACTGTCTATGGTATTACATTTTTACCCTTCTTCCCCTCGCTGCCATCATGCTATAAATCACTTATTGCAGTTCGTCCCTCGTACGTCCTCTTTTGTCCAATCTTATTTCTTCAGGGAAAACCTGGAGGTTAGAGGATGTCCTTGCCAGGTTAAATTGGAAATATGAAACTGATGTCCTGGTTACCTTTATTATTGACAATGATGACAGAGACTCCACTTCACACATCATTTATGTACGTACAAAGCTTGTGGCTGTAAAACCCCTGATAGTGCATCACAGTGAATTAGAATTTAGTCAGTTAATTTTTCACTAATTTTAACAGAGAGGGAAAACAACAATTCAAGCATATTTGGGTTTTTTTCAGTTTTCATTATTTGGATTTAGAGTTGATAAAAATCTTGAAACAAAATTTCCCAGAAGAGATTTGAACACTATAAAAATATAATTTTGGAATAAAAAATAGTCCAAAATGTTCTGCTTTTGTTCTTTTGTGTTGCAAAGATCCCTGAAATTTGTAAAACAATAAAATATTTGGCATCAGTAGGAAAATTAACAATAGTTTTGCAGTATTTCAACTAATTAAAACCAAAGACCTTTGAAAAATAGTTAATTTTCCTATTGTATAGTTGATAAATCAGACATACTTAAATTCTTGAACAAGTGTCTCTTGTAATGAGAAAGTTCAATCTGTTGGCCAAACCTGGTTACATAATGATCATTATGTCAGATAACTAGAATATTGTCTTGATTTTTTAAAATTTTTTTTGTCTTCCATTTTTGTCAGGTTGACCAACAAGCGTCCTTTGGCCTCTTGTCCACAGACTACTACACCTGCAAGGGTGACTTTGCAAAGGTATGCTGACATGTTTAATAGTTATTTAAACATTTATTTTATTTTTTTGTTTGTTTTGGGAAAACGAACATTATTAATGTGCTTTACAGGCATGTGAAGTTTATGAGCAGTTCATGTTTGATCTGGCAAAGCTGATCCGCACTGACCGGGGATTGAAATTCAACGAAGCAGAGATAAAAGCAGAGGTGAAACGAGTTGTGGATTTGGAGAAAGACATCTTTATTGTGAGGATAGATCTATTGTTTCAGAGATGACTGAAATGTGACACTCATGACCATGCCATGCTCTTGTCTTTGCTTAGCTAAAGGACTTCACATTTTGTTTTCCCCTCAGTAGGGACTGCATGTTAATAATTGGTTAGTCAAACCTAAAATACTTGGATTAGTCAACCCAGCTGAACAACTCTACTCTTAATTATTAAGAAATCAACAGATTTGTAACCCTGTTTTGTCAATCTGCGCTTCTCCTGTTGCTTACATGCTGTGCTTCCTCTCCACTCTGCTGCTCATTATTACAAAGCAGTTAAACCATTCAAACTCTGACATTTACAGACCTGAGGCCTCCTGGGTTGAAAATGCTTCATGCTTCTGGAGATATATTGAGAGCGTACATGTGTTTCGATTCCTACTAGGCCACTGACCCACCAGAGTTTCGGAGGGATCCAGTGTTTCTTTACAACAAGATCGAACTGAGGACTCTGAATAGAATCTTCTCTTTTGAAATTGACTCTCAGGTAATGCTAACATCTTAGCATGTGAGCATTTCTGTTATTTAAACTTGGCCTCAAATGTCTTAAACTTGGTTTCCTTGTGTGTGTTTTGGCTCATCCTGAAGAGATTCAACTGGAGTTATTTCACAGCTAAGATAATGGACAACGTGAACATCAAGGTTCCCGAATCGGAGAAAATTATCAACTACTCGCCCAGATATTACGGAAAACTCAAAAATGTATTAGCCAAATACACCAAGAGGTATGGAAGACTATCCAAGTCAGAGATGGTTTTTGTTTTCCAGAGAAATTGCTTACCTTTGCAGTAATTGTATGTGGATAATGTCGATCTCCTGATCCTTGCTGCGTTTTGTTTCTCAGGGATCTGCAAAACTATGTGGTTTGGCGGTTTCTTATGAAAACAATAGGGACACTGAGTCGAGCTTACAGAAACACCAGGAATGATTTCCTCAAGGTACACACCCCCATATCACCTTGACATGTTGACTTGGGAAAATGTCTTTCATGAATGTCCTTGCAATGTCTTTATAACAATTGCAAAAATGCAACTTATTGTATTGGTGTAAAAAGTTACTTGTAGCTGTTGAAAAAAAAGGTGCAAGGAAAATTTATAGATGTTACATTTAATAGTCTCTGAAATGTCATTGAAATAAGGAAGATCTCAGTGTGTTTGAGAAGGGTCCATTCTCAGTCATCAAACATGAGAAAACATGTAAGGAGATTGCAGAATCTACTAAAGAAGAAATGTAGCCAAAAAAGAATTCTGAATGACCATGATCACTTAATCGTTTGGTGAAATCAAATAGAAGAAATACAACAGTGGATCTCTGGGCTATGCTTAATCGTGAAAGTAAGAGCATTTCCACACACACAGTGAGAAGGGAACTCAATGGATTGTGACTGAGCAGCTGTATAGCCTTTAGAAAACAACTAATCAGTGAGGCTAACTGGGAAGAAAAGCTTTAGTTTGCTCTGGAGAATAAGGATTGGACTCTGGAGCAATGGAAGACGATCATGTGGTTTGATGAGTTAAGATTCACCATCTTCCGGAGTGATGGCCGCATCAGGGAAAGAAAAGAGGCAAGTGAAGTTATTACCCATCATGCTTATGAAAACAATAGGGACACTGAGTCGAGCTTACAGAAACACCAGGAATGATGTATAAGCTGTATAAGCATGATCTGGGTTGTTGCCCCAAGACTTAGCACTGTCAGGTTAGGTCTATGTTCAGCAACACTAAGGTTGAAAGAATAATGTAATCTGTCGATTCTATACTGAATGACCAGGTTATTCCATCAATGGATTTCTTCTTCCCTGTTGGCAAGAGCACATTCCTAGATGACAATGTCAGGATTCATCAGATTCAAATTGTGAAAGAGTGGTTCATGGAGCATGAGATATCATTTTTACACCACAGAGTCTAGACATTTGTATGTTTTTGCTTCTTTGACCTTTGAACTGGTCAAAGAAGCAAAACGTTCATGGAATTTTTGATGGAGCAGCAAATGTGAGAATTTGTTGAGAGGCTATTGGCCTTGAGCTCTGTTGAGATGACTGAACAGCAACAGGGAGACTAGTTATAATCAGTTTGGGGAGGAGATTTATCTCCCAGCAAGACAGTGACCCTAAACATAACACCAGTACAACAGTGGTTTAGATTCCAGTCTGTCATGACTGGAATCTAAACCAGTCATGGTTTGGATTCCAATCAAACCATGACTGGTTTGGTTGGTCACATTGCAGTGACCAGATTCACTGCAATGTTTATGTTATCTGTTTCAATGCAAGTAGATCTACCAATCAGATTATCAGAAGGGCTCTGAGTTTAGCTCCATGCTACAGGATAATTCAGCATTACTTTGTTTTTGTGCTGTTTTCTTTTGTGCTCCAATTTCTCTTGAACTGTCTCTTGATAGTTCAAGGAAATTCTAATGTTTAGGCAATGTGTACTTTATTTTTTGTGTTTTCTAGATTCTTGTAAACTTTTTTTCATAATCCATCTTTTTTCTTTCGCTCTACGTCCTGAAAGAGAAACCGATGAATAAAGTATTGCCTTGAAATTTCTCCTTCATTCACAAATTTTCTCTCAACTTCCCAATAGTTTCTGACCGGTACAACATCAGAGGATGCCGTGTGGAGACGTTGTGCACTTCTTGTCAACGCCGTTCTGACGAAAGCTGTGGGACGGCTCTATGTGCAGGAGGCTTTCTCTGACAACAGCAAACAGCTGGTTGGTTGAGGCTGAATTGGGCTGATTATCAGATTAAAAAAACTTTATTGAACAGCTTTATTTTACATTGACAGTCTGAACTGATGACATAAAGAAAGTGAGTGTTTTTATGTATTCACATGTAGAATGAGACAGTTTAAGAGACATCTGTCTCGGGTCTGTGCCTCAGTGTTATCTTGCTTGCATCCACTGGAAGCAGCTGAATGAGGCGTCCTTGTTATTATGCTCAGACCACCGATGCTGTAAATCTCAACTGTGTGCCTCTGTGCATGTGCATAACGCAGGCTTTGCTGCAATATTGTTTCGTGTATGAGTAACATCCTCGTAACTCTTAAGCATCTCAATAAAGATGTTTGCCTACTCAGATCACAGTAAGAATTCTGAGATTCAAGTTAGAAATCCCTTACATATAGATGAATCCATTATAGAAATTATTTCTGAGATTTATTCATCTATAAGTAATTGGATATTTTTGTATATATTTTTTTTCTTTAAATTCAGAAGTTTGCATACAGTCATACTTATATCACTATATGATATAAGTGATATTTAATACAACTTCATTGTTCTTCCTTACATTCCTTACACACTGCAGATTATTTCCTGGTTTTGGAAAACTGGCAGTTCAACTGATAATGACATTGACCCTGGAAATATTTGAAGTCGAGCAAATTTTTATTTCTTTTAGTCAAGTGTATGGCCAAGTCCTCCAAGAAAAATCCTGATAGAAATATTAAAATATTGACGATATGTTGTTATTTTTAAAAGAACAATATATTAAAATATATTTTATCATAATGCAGTTGTCATATTAACAGACTAATATGCAAGTCTGAATCGTTCTGATATGTGGATATGTAAAGCCTAATAATTTTAGGAACTCTGTTAATAGTTTGACATAAATTATATTTGTCTTATTTCTGATCCAATTAGAGTTGATAAACAACAGAAACAGCAGAGCACCTTTTCATGATGCATTTTCTTGTTCTATCATTGGCATCTTATGACATTTGCTCTCTCTTTGGTGTGTTGGGAGATTAGATGGAGGAACTTATTAAAGACATTCGGGAAGTTTTCATTAGTAACCTTAATGACCTTTCCTGGATGGATGAAAAGACCAAAAAAGCAGCTGAAGAGAAGGTGTGAACATCAGTTGCAAGAATAATCTTATTTCTATTTAGAACAACAAATAAACCAGGTTTATTCTCATTTTCCTTTTTGCTTTTTTTTTCAGGCCCGAACTATCCGTCAACGCATTGGTTATTCTGAAGACATCATGAATGACGAATATCTAAACAATGAGTACAAAGATGTGAGTATTTATGAAAAAATTCTGTTAACCATACACTGTAACAAATTGCTGTAAAAATCGGCCAAAACTGAACAGTATCATACTGTTTCTATTGAAAACGGTACTGCACCGTGAAAAGCAATGCATTCTGGGCAATTATTACTGTTTTTAATAAAATACTGTAGTATACTGTGAGTAGCATTGCATTTTGGGAATGATTTTAGATTCAACGGTAAGGAGGCTGTCTTCAAACAGAACGCTACTGTATTTCTGAAGAAGACATGTTGTTGTGACATGTGGAAGCAACCTCTAGAACAGGGGTGTCAAACTCCAGTCCTCCAGGTGTCCTGCAGTTTTTCAATGTGCCACAGGTACAAAACACTGGAATGAAATGGCTTCATTACCTCCTCCTTGTGTAGATAAGTTCTCCAGAGTCTTGCTAATGACCTATTATTGTATTCAGGTGGTGCAGCAGAGGCACATCTAAACGTTGCAGGATACCGGCCCTCGAGGACTGGAGTTTGACACCCCTGCTCTAGAACTTTCTTTACAAGGACTATCCATTTGAATCCTGCATTTTATGAGCCAATCCTAAGGTAAGTTATTTTTGATGATTCATATTTACAAATATTGACATGTTTGGAAGCTCTTTTTCTTTCTTTTGTGTAATTTGACTTGAATTGCTGCTAAAGTGAAATTGGTGAATGGATATCAACTGGGAATTTGGAGTTTCACAGAGTTGACTTGGCAGAAAACTGTTTAAATGTTATGCTGGTGTCTCTTTATTAACTCTTAACATTCAAAAGTTTGTCTTCATCTAGCACACATTAAACCCTGACTCCTTAAGCATCATATGCTAATCTGAAATTACTGCATTTTCAGGCGCTTTCTTGATATCAACCCGGACCAAGGCCAGCTGTAGCAATATCATCTCCAAGAGGACAGGGAAAACTTTTCAAAAGAAGTCGGTCACTGTCATCCCCCGTGTTTCAACTCTGATGAAAAACCTCATGAACTTTGAGTGAAATTTCATAGTGAGAACTTTCTAACCAAGCTATAGATATTGTTGCCCCTCCACGCAAAAACAAACAAACAAAAAACTATACAGGCATGAAGGCAACTAATCCCTGAACAGGAGTGTTCTTGAGAGATTTTTTTTGGTTTAAAGGTCAGCATAATCTTAAGACATCTCTTTTAATTAAGAGCATAAATTTTGTTAAGGCTCCCACTTTCTGTTCTTCAGATGTAATTTTGACTGTACAGGCACCATGTTTAACTTATCTTGGCAGTGTTGTCAAGTATTGTTTCACTGTTTTATATTTTGAAGTTGGAGCTCTGATTTTGCCCTAAAGGAAATTCAAGTCTAAATGTTTCATTTAAATTTTTATCAAACTAAAATTTGCAATTTTTTTTATGCTTTAGATTGAAAGTTAAATGTTTCATTTGTTTTATGTTGCATCATGTTGTTCCTCACTTCCACAAAAAGTAGTATTTTGTATTGAAAAAGTAGTGTGCTGAGTTGTACAATGCATTATTTCCATAATTTATTTCATACTTATTTAATTTCAGACTAATCAAAAGGCCACAATTCATGCTTTATTCAAAAACTCTTTAAATCAGTTAAGAAATTTATTTCACAAAATAGATGGTGATTTTCTTACTGTTTTTCCAGAATATGACTTACTTTGGACAGTTTACCCTCAACATTCTTGTAGAAAAGGTTTAGGTTTAAGGCACACATACGTTGTCGTTTCAAAACCTTCGTCTTTATTATGTGGCCCACTAAAGACTGTGTATGAGTCAATGTTTGAGTTGGTTCTTTTTTTTTCCAAATAAATGTTTGACATGATGGAACTTACATTTTCTAAGTGTTTTTTTTTTCATGTTTCTATTTTATATTGGAAATTTACAGTAGTAAGCTGTATGTGAATTCAACAGTAATGGTACCATAGAAAAACTGTAATATACTGGCAACACAGCTGCCAGTAGTCTACTGTAAAAATACAGCACAATTTGTTAGTGTAGAAAAACAGTAATATACTGGCAACACTGCTGCCAGTAGTCTACTGTGAATCTGATAAAAAAAAACAGCAATGTGCTGTAATCAAAAGATTTCTTTTGTGACGGTAATATACTGTAAAGCTGATTACAGTAAGGGTACTGTATATTAACGGTATAATGCTGGCAACCCTGCTGCCAGCATTTTACTGTAAAAATACTGGGCAATTTGTTACAGTGTATTTCACTAAGTTCTTTGTAACAAAAAATTCTTCAGGAAAGTTGCATTTTTTATCCTTCCTAAAACATCCCAGTGAATTTTTGCCTGAAATGTGTTCCTCTTTTTTCCTGGCTGTGTTACTGTTAGCTGAACTTCAGTGCAGAGGAATACTTTAAAAACATCCTGCGGAGCATGGAGTATCGTGCCAAGAAATACCTACAGAAATTGCGAGAAAAAGTCAAGAATACGTAAGTTTTTTTTTTTTTTTTTTTTTTTTATTTGGTGGTGGCGGTGGATTTACCAGCTTTACTCCAGATGTGTTATAAATGAAAAGTGCATGGTTTGATATTTAAATCTCTTGTCTTATTCATGGTCCTAGCAGAGTGAACAACTACACTGTTTACCTAATTTATTCTTTGTGCAGTGTGTTCACTTTATACCACAAAAACTCCTGCATGCATTTAGAGTTCAGCTTTAACAGCAGTCAGACATTAACCTGGGGTGTTAAAAGCTGTGTGTTAATTTTCCACATTTTTTTCACGTAGGCTTTTTATTGCCTCAATGTAGTTTCATAGTGTCATCGTTTGATAACACCTCTCTCATTTTTTATTTATTTTTTCAAGGTGGTTTGTTGGAGCTGCTGTTATCGACGCCTTCTACTCATCCAACTTTAATGAAATTGGTACCAAATAAGCATCGGAAATTATGTTCAGCCACAAAACATAAATCCTAAGATATTTTGAAATTTAAAAATTGTTTCTCTGTCTGTAGTGTTTCCTGCTGGTATCCTTCAACCCCCTTACTTTAGCAAAGGCCAGCCTAAATCTCTCAACTATGGTGGAATTGGCATGGTAATTGGTCATGAGATTACACATGGCTTTGATATCAAAGGTAGGATTTTTCTACTTCATTGTTCTTCCTTACATTTTGCTGGGTTACATTAGTCTGTGAACACATCAATTTCCCCCTGTAACTGGTATCAGTTTAGAGAAGAGCTTTGCTTCACCTTATTATGCCTTTGGCCTCAGGATACTTGTAATAGTACTGTAATTTAAATTATTTTCCACCTCAGGTATGTCATCTGCATTCTTATTTACACATGACAAATTCTAATATCTAACAATCATTTTTAGCCTTAAGAAACTTACAGTTTCAAAACTACAAAATTCCATCCAGTTTAGTCATTTTAATTTAACAAGGGAAGTGCAGAGGTTTCTTCTGGCTCTTTGGCCCATAGAGGAACATGTTTCCCAACCAGGTGTGCTACATTGACAGATAAATTAGCTTGATTCCAGCAAGTGGAAACCATGAATAAACTGACAAAAACAACTTGGAAAAACAACTGTATCCAACCAGTTCAATACTCCCAATTCCCACTTCTGATCTACATCATGGCGCTTCGAATGATTGACATACATGCAAAGAGTCAATACCAAGGGATGCCCTTTGTCAACAATGCTGTTTTAACCTAAACAATGTCACATTATCTCCTAGCTCCCATCTGTTCTATGTCTGCAGGTCGCAAGTTTGACAAGGACGGCAATCTAAAGGACTGGTGGACTCCTGAATCTACTGAAAAATTTCTGCAATTCTCAAGGTGCATCGTTGACCAGTACAGCAACTTTTCCTGGGACCTGGCTAATGGTCTACATGTATGTTCACACAGTCAATTGTTTCGTTTTTTCCTATTTTTCTGGAACATCACATGAAAAATTCCATTAACTTCACTTTTATGGATGTTACCAGAATTCCTGTTGTCTTTGCCAGCTTATCCATCTGTCATTTTTCAATCTTTCTTCCTGTTTTCCAGCTTCATCTTCTCTCTGCTTTAGGTCTCTTTAGTGTTTTGTGTTGACATACGAGTACTTCTCCTTTTATCCTTCCCCTGTATTGCTCCTTTCAACAATGCTTCTTTTCCTCCCTGGGTGATTCGTTCTTTTAACCCAGAAACTGAAATCTGCAATTTACTGAAAATATGGAAGGAAAACTTTCAAGTCTCTTTATCATTTTTTGGACTCTGCACCTATATTTTCTCCTTAGTTGAATGGCGACAACACCCTCAGAGAGAACATAGCTGACAATGGAGGGATTCGACTGGCATACCAGGTGAAGAACTTAAGAGACGCTGTAAAAATGTTTTGTTTACATATGTGACCTGCTTCATACAACTTGAAAAAAATGTCAAAGTCTATTTGTCAGGACGTTGACATGTTTGTTAGGTTGTATGAAGGCTGATATTGTACCTCCAGATCAACAAAGTCATTAACCAGTTTAAAGTCATTACAACTCTGCAAAAAGATTTCAATGTTATTTAAACATAAAAAAAATGATCTTGTATGTCAAAAAACAACTAATATGACAGAATTTTTCTTGCAAGCTGCTCCAAGATAATTACTCTGAATTAGAAATGCAAAGAGAAATCGCTTTGTCATCATTGCCTTATACATTTTTTTGCTTGATCAGACCTGACCAGTGACTGGTCTGGCACATAATCAAAAATTCAATTTTGCTTCCGCTCATTAGTGCACCAGATAAAGGCACAACCAATTATGTCATTTCTGTCATAATTTGAAATACTGAAAAGTGTTTTGAAGAATCTTATTCTCAATTTCCAGTCAAATTTCTTCCAACCTGGACTGTGGGTGATCTTAAAACCTTTTTTCACAGATCTCCTCCCACTCCTCTTGAATAAAATATTCAGTTCCCACTTTGCTTTATATCTATAGAATAGTCGGAGAAATGCATTTGTAAATGTTTATATAAATAATATATATTAGACATAATTGAATACTGACATAAAAAGTGATAGAAATGTTTTTTTTATCACTGTTTATATTTAGACATACTCATTTTTTCTTTGAGATCCTCCATGATTATTTCTTTCTGCTTTCTATCTTCGGTGGTGTGGCTCACATGTTTTCAAACTTTTTTTTTTTTTCTGGAAAAAAATCAAATGTTTGATTTTTGCTTTCAGTATAATACAACAAAGGACCTGTTTGAATTGGCAATACATGTATTGCAACAGCAAATGATTACTTTGTATCGTAGAAGCTGTGGTAGCAAACATAAATGAGAAGTATATGTAGCGCATTACTCAAAAATGCATCAATCAAACATTTATTAACTGTGTGTAAAATATATAAAATTTTGTATTTTATTATAGGCATACAAGAAATTTGTGGAGAGGAATGGAGAGGAGCCACTGCTGCCTGGAATCGACCTTTCACATGATCAGCTCTTCTTCCTTAACTTTGGACAGGTAATCAAAGAAAAGCTTTGATATTAATACATTTTAATAAAGTTCAGTATTAAATATTTTTCATCAATATTTCTGACACAATTCATTCTGACTACTGTAATAGTTACTTGATAATTCTTTACTGTAACTCAATTATGACCTGCTTTAATTTGTAAAACAATTGGCATTAAAATGAAAAATAGTTTAATAGGTTTAATAGCAGGTTCATGATGAATGACACTGACCAGTTTAGTCCAACCTTTTAATTTTAGGCATTGGCTGTTCCTATTTTTTTTTTTTTTTTGTCTTGAGAAAAATGCCATTCATGAAAGTATGATCTCAAAGTTGTGAAGTTGCTATCCACCTATTTAAAACTGCAGTTTCTATTTTGAACATTTTTCACGGTCCTTATGTCAGTATGCAGTAGGAAGCATGGTAAATGAGCTAATAGCATTTCCAAAGCTTAGATAACACAAATAATATAGAAAAACACAACATGGCACTGCAGTTAAAGAAAATGTCAGGATTTTTATTTGTCTTTTGCAAAAATGAATATGCTTATTGGGTGGGATGGCAGAAATACAGTGGGATACCTGACACCCCTAATATTGAATTCAGGAAGCTCTGTACTTGTCTGATATGTTACATCCTGTATGTATTTTTAAGATTTGGTGTGAATCCTATCGACTAGAGCAAGCTGTTAATTCCATTAACGTAGACGTGCACAGTCCAGGGATGTTCAGGTAATGACATGAAGTCAGCACTTTGTGACATAAAGTACAGTTTAAAAAGCAGAATCCCTCTGACACAAAGTTCACTTGCTAACTCCAGTCTCCTTTGTATACTCTAGAGTACTTGGCTCCCTTCAGAATTTTCCAGAGTTTGCCAAAGCATTCACCTGCAAGAAAAGCAGCAACATGGTCTCTGAGAATGTTTGTCGTGTTTGGTGACCTAACGACCTCTGAGATGGGCAGTTTTGTTCTGCTTTCTGCCGGTACGATATCTCTCCCGTATAACTGCTGGAGCTCTCATGGAGGCCTACAGGGAGATGGAAGCTTCTCTTTGTTCTTTACTGGATGGACCACAGCTGGTGAACAGGCAGCGCAGCATCCAAGATGGATTGTTGTCCCAAAAGGAATAACCCTCATTGGTTGTCTGCTGTTAAAGTTTGTCTCTCAACCTGTAACACTGTTGTCCAATAAATCAACTCTCCTGTTCACTGCATACAATCACTCATTCTGTTTTTTTTGTTTTTTTAAAGTTTTATTCTGTTTTTTTCTTTCACATTTGCTTATCCTCTGAGCCTGCCAGTGTTTGTTTATGGGTGAATGTTGTGAAGTGCACAATTCAGAGACTGAGGTCCAGACAAAAGTCAGGGAGCAAAAACAATCTTTAATACGTCTGCAGACGGAGAGCAAGAAATACACTGCATTAGGCACAAATTAGGATCCGCTCTGAGGAACCCAGAGTTGCATAGTTACTTTATTCATCTCTCTTTACTACTCAGGCGGAGACTCAATCTTCTAAGACCAAACAAAAGAGACAAAGGAACACATAAGGAACCATCTCCATACAGGGAAGGCCACGGGAAAAACAGAAAGTTTCCAAATAATTGTCTGGGGAAGTTCAGCAACCCTGGGAAACGTACTTCAGTAGACACATCATGCTTCATTAGTTTGTACACCGTTTCCAGCTGCACAGAAAAAAAACCTTGACTGTGATACAAAAAACATTACATTTATATGATACATAAAGGAACATCATTTAATACGAATAAAACTTCTTCACAATGTGTGAGTGTGTTTCAGTCAAAATGCTTTATAAGGCAACAGAGAGGCAAACAGAAAAATGTTTTCAACCCACTCGCGCATTAATACGCCGCCTACCCACTCTCATACATGCAACAGGGCCGAACCACTGTATTCTATGTGGGACTCAGCTGGAACTCTCATAAACCTCAGCTGTTTTCAGCCTCTGTCTTGTCTGCAGATTTTCTCTACAGTTTTACCATCATGAACCATTTTAGTTTAAGTAAAACGGGAATTATGTTTTGTAACAGAATAGTTAACCTGCATTGCTGCATTTTTTGTTTGTTTTTTCTGTGACAAGTGGTCATAAATGACTTAAGATGACAGTCTATTTATTCCAGACCTTTTTTCATAAATTGTACTGAGCCACCTTTGTTTTTGTGTGAATGTTTGCATTGCTTGTTGTCTTGTTAAGAGGTAAAATAAAATAAAAAAATCTGCACCACTTACGCCTGGCTGTTAGCTGGCAGATGGTGACATAAAAACACTTTTAGTGGCCTCAAAGGATAAAAATATTAACTGCACCACTAAAACCCAGTTAACCTAAACTTTAATTGCAAATTCACCAGGCTTGGATTAGTTTGTTAGAGCTTTTTTTTTTTCTTATTCTCACTCTTTCTCTGAGTCAGCCGTCTCGCTCAGCTACTCTGCAGTCTCCAGAAAAGGACATGCATAAACCTGACAAAATAATTATATGTGATCTTTGGAAAACATGCAACCATACAAGGAAAAATTAGCAACATAATAATTTGATCTGGCTGTGTTGCAGAGACAAATATTTTGGCTAATCACATGACAAATATAGTAATAGATCTTTATAGCCTATCCAGTAGCTCAAACATTGGTATTCAATGCTTTAAGTTGTACATTTATTTCCTCTCAAGATCTCCTGAAACACAATTGTTGGTACATTGTTATAGCAAAAGCATTACGTTAGAAACAATAGAGTGCTTTTGGACACCTCTGTTCTGGGACCAGATTAGGATGGTTGAATTCATGTTGAATTATCTATTTATCTTGCCTCCCTGGCAATGTGTTATTTTTTTTGTATAAATAACTAAATCTCAATTGTGTTATCCCTAAAAACACAATATGTTTTTTTTTTTTTAAATGCTGTTAGTTCCAATCAGGGCCGTCCCACATGTCTGATTGGTCAGTATGAAGGTAGGCTACACTAGTGTGGGTTATATTCATGAACAAAACCCATTTGTGGGGTGACTCTTCTCTCGCTGTATCCAGCCAAATAAAAATGTCACCAGGTGCAACAGTACTTACTCTGATAGGCCTAATAGAAGCATGTGTCACAGTGGGGGAGCCAGCTTCGCTCTGCCAGATACGGGGAAGTCCAGAAATGAAACCAACTCAGATTGTTGTAAACTAAAGTGGATGAGCATAGGAATAAACTTTAGTAGAATTAAAAAATAGTATTCATAGGCAAGCACAAATAAAAAGCTACTATTAATACCAGCCACATATAACTCGGTTCACGTCAAAGAGCGTGACAAAAAGCGTGACAGGCGTCAGCTCGGTCGCCATGGCAGCGGGCTCGGTTGAACCAAATTTAATCCGTAAGTTTTTCACGTTTGTCTTCTTTTGTTTGTTTTGTTGTGCTGCCCAAATAAATTATGTATTTTAATCTACACATAGCGATATTTTTCCTACCAACTTCGTCTTATTTATTCAACAACCGTTGGAAATACTTTACAATGTCATTTAAACACTGTTAGCAAACACTTTATTCACACGACAAGATATTTAGTTTCGTTTATTAGGAATAATAATAATCTGTTTTCGCTTACGACGTTGTCTGGCTGCTGAGGTCTTGAAATGTCTGTTTTTACTGGGTTTTTTTTTTTTATTATTTTGCTGTCGTCATATTCATAGCTCGAGGCTAATGTTAGCTTGAGATTGATTCCAGATGTCCTGCATTGTTCAGTTTAAATAATTTTTGACAAAGGGGATTACAATTTATGTGTTTATTTTGTATATTTAATTTATAATAATAGTAAGTCCGAATATTGTTTGTCTCTGTATTTAAAGGAATTAAATAGTAGATATTAATAGTAAACGTGGCCGCCATATCGAATTTGATGAATATGCCATAAGCTATCAGCAAATTAACCAAATTTCATAAAAGCGCTGTGCTGCAACTATAGATTGTATTGAACAACATTGTAATTTTGTCAGCAGATACTTTATGATAACATCACCAATCACCATCCTCTTTGCACAGAGGGACTTCATCTGGAGAAGTGCGAGAAATAACTGATTTTCTGCCTCATTTTTCCCTTTGCCAAAAGTATTTGCAGCTGTGATTGGAAGAGCTTTGTCCATAAATTAAGTAATGGTTTATTCCCCAGTAGATCAGATGATGCAGCCGGTGAAAGAGGAGACTTGAGGATGACAGAGACCGATACTCCAAAATCAGCAAGGAAGCCCCGTTGGACCCCTCTGGAAATGGGCCTATTTACTGTCGTCTCCTTGTTCCTTATTATCATTGTTATCCTCATGGTCTTGTTTGCCACCCAGTCAAGTGAGTGTTTTAAGTAAAGATTAGCACTGATACTGATATGTTTTAGGCATGTATTCTTGTCTTTAATAAAGTCAAACAAACGTGTGAGCAAAACAAGTGAATCATCTATTCGAAAGGATTTGTCTAGGACATTCATTAGGTTTCACTAAGAGCATGCACAAGTGCTGCCCTTTGCTCATATCTGGAGCTTGTTCAATGTGCTTCTCAACTTTGTTTCAAAATAGTCTTTGGAACAGAATTTTAAAAAAAAAGAAAAATATGCATGTGTTCAGACGTCCCCTTAAAAAGGTGTTAATGATTCAAAAACACTGTCTCAAATTTCTTGAGTCTAGGAACTGCATATTTCCTAGAAAATGTTTTTTTTTTTTTTCAAAAAAGGATGATGATCTAAGAAAAATTGAAAACCAAGGCCCAAATTTTTTCATTCAGTTCAAAGTCCAAGTTTTAGATTTTCACTCCTTCATGCTTCTGTTTTAAAATAAGCAGTGAAATAGGGGTTGAGTTAGTTCCCAAATGACCTAACAAGACCTAAGCAGGTGATCTATAGATTAGTTATTGATAAAGTTCAGCAGGTCATGATGATAGATGATCCTGACAGAAAAGGCCATCCAATTGACATGACGGCACCTCCTCCACCATGCGGGATCAGAGCAAACCTCAGACAAACAGTTCTATAATATCAGAGGTAGTGGAACTCAAGGCCTCACCGCCAACATTTTTTGAGTAATTTTTACCTTAGCAGTCGAGGCCAGGACGACAGAGCGGAAGATTCTCTGCTATTATTAATTTTTCTGCTGGTCTGTCAGTGCATCAAAGTGTCATTTGATTGATACATGTCTGACAGAGAGAAAGTGACACTTGAGAGGAGTTTTGCGTTACATATGTGCAACAAATTAATGAATAAAAAGAAATGCAGAAGAAGAGAACAGAAAAAAGAACTGATTTAGATAAAATCAACCACTGAGTGCTGAAAAACCCACTGAGTTATGGAAATGTGTTTTACATTCTCTTACAGATGAAATCTGCACCACAGCTGACTGCACACATTCGGGTAAGCAGCTTGTGTTTGTTTGTTTTCTCTCTCTATTGTTTCATCCTGAAGGCTTTGACTTCTCCCAGCGGGAGCCGGCAATGGAAAAGTGAGGCTGCAACAGAAGCATTTTAGTCATTGCTCACTGAAAATGGCCTCTTCGAAAGAGACATGTTCTCCTTCAGTCAAAACCACAATAAAGCAGATATGATCAGCCCTAGAATTGTGCATGTTCTACATGTATGCATTTTCAATCAATCAAGGAGTTTGTTTCTTACAGAAAATGAAACAGACATTTGCAAATATAACCAAATAATGTACAATGAGATTAAATTTATGAAAAAAGTTTCATCTTCCTACTATTTACATTTGATTTATTAAATGTCACATAAAAATGATTCTGTCCTTGATAAACTACATAAAACTTGACTATAATTGATATTAGAGCAATCTAACCCATTTCTTTGGTCATGAGCTCCAAGTCTTAGAAATTGGAGCTTATCCAAGAGGTTAAAAAACGGGATTGGCCAAAGTGCAACCTGGAGGCAATTTGCGGCCAGGAGAATGATTGTGGGCGTCCGTTGATAACAATTCAAGAATAGCATGAATTTGTTTTCTAGACTATGCAGGTGATGCAGATCCACATTTAAATTTAAACAATATCAGTCTGTCTTATTTTGAAAGACCTTTTGTCTGGAGCACCTATGTCTTGGTACACAACTGTATTAAATGAAGCGTGGCTACTCTTGTCAATGCTCAAGTTTTTTCTCATCAGTTAGACCGTCTTTATGTTCTTCTGTCTTGTTGCTGCTTTGTTGTTCACTTATTTATTTCCCTGCCTTCCAGTTCTCT